CATGAGTCAGCTGTGTAACTGATGGCCTTTAGTTAAAAGAAGATAAGGGATTATGGTTGACAAAATTAATATCTATATGCTTCCTGTTCAATACGCAATGGTCTTTATATATGGCAACCTTCACTTCCCTCTTCTTTGTAAGGAACGATACCTTATGTTGCCATCTCAGTATATGAATCATCCAGGTGTGATTTTAAGATCGGGGATTCAGTCCCAATCGCATTCTTTCTGCTTGCCAGTATAGGGGGATTCCAGGAGCATGACGTACTCTTCATCTCTAGAATTTCCATCCTTAGAGGTTTTTAAGACCTAGGTAGACAAAGCCTTGGCTGAGATAATATAGTTGGGAATGGTCCCACTTTGAGGAGGTGGTTGAACAAGATGATATGCTGAGGTCCCTTCCAACCCTAATTTTCTATGATTATGTTAAATACACTAAATTAACCTGCACCTTACTGCTGCTAGTTCCATTAACTAATTTGTGCATGCTAAACATTGATTTTTCTTTCACCTGATGAGTTTTTATTTGAATTGTTTGAATGCTGCTTTTATTTTAGGAGAAGACTGACGTGGAAGGAACGCTGTTTGTTTACACAAGGTGAGAACATCTTATTTTCATGGCTGAATAAAGAACCTGTGGTAGTAGAAAAGCCCATCAGAAAAGAATACTGCTAAGGTACCTACCTTGAATTCTGGTTTACTCCAAGGCAAAGAAGAATAGCAAAGTTAATTTGAATTTTTCAAAGACAAAGCAGGCAAGAAAAAACTGAAAAAGAGAACATTACCTTGTATTTGTTCCTATGCGTGAGACTTTGAAAATGTAAATGTCAGTATGGACGAACTAGATAATTCTGTGACAGTATCCTAGTTAACATAGGATGTATTGTCTGCCCTTTTGGAAACCAAAAAACTAAATGGTTAAGTAAATGATGGTGCTTGTTTAAGGTTTAAAAAAATGGTAGGGCTTAAAAACTATTGTAACTGTTTCCTTTATAGGAGAAAGTTTTTACTGGGCATCTCTACACATGATGCTATGGTGCCATAGCAATGTGCTACAGCTACGTAGCATTGGTGGACACAAACTGGGGCGCCGCAGCTACATCAGAGTAGCAACACATTTTCTCATTATAGTGCATTGCTGTGGCGACATAGCGGCTAAAAATAACCGTGCGTTACCGGCGTGGCACAGTACAGGCTGTTACTGTGCCATCATTTAGCACTTCCAAAAGGAAGTACTAAATGACAGCGCAGTAATAAAGGCACCACAGGGACACGTGTACGCACACCCACTGCTTCCTCAAATTTTCTCTGCCAAATGACTTCTAATGTAACAGGAAGCGAACCACTATGAGCTACCACCCTACATGGTGATGTTTTTTTCTAACTGCTCTGGCCCTTTCTTTAAGTTCATAATTCTAATTTTATATCATGTTTGCTGGCTTCCAGCTCTCACTTATTTCTTAACTAAAGGTAAAGACTGTTTGGAAAACTGTTTCACACATTTATACTGTTTATTTTGTTGGGTTTTTTTAAGGCAAGAAGGGACCATCATATCATCTAGCCCAATCTTTTTGGCCCACAAGCCAGATAAGTAGTGCCACGTCCATCTGTGGACCTGATCCAGCATGTGTGGCAGTTGCCTGGGCTGAGCTGGATCTGGCCCTGCAGGGCTTGGAAATATGGCAGTGGGGAAGGAGTGGTAGCGTTAATTGCCATGTATCCCCTACGACCACATTTTCCAACCTTTAGGGCAGTGTTTCTCAGCCTTCTAAGTAGCTGGTACCCCCTAACTTTTGAAAATGTTAATAAGTACCCCAACA